CACGTCTGTCCGTCCTGGGAGAGGGACCCCTCCTCTGTTGCTCTCCCTGAGGTTTCTCCCATGTTCCCCTTTAAACTGTGGGTTTTCTCTGGAAGTTTTTCCTTGTACGATGTGAGGGTCTAAGGACAGAGGGTGTCGTATTGTCATACTGATATTCTGTACAAACTGTGAAGACCACTGAGACATATGTAACATTTGTGATATTGGACTATATAAATAAACATTGATTGATTGAAAAGCATTTTACTTGACCGCCCTTCCAACTCACACAATCTTCACCATTTCACCCACAAATATTATAGCAGATATTGTTAAAGACACGTGCACTTGTTGAAACGTTCAGAGCAATTGAAAGTACATTTGTTATAAATGTTGTCGTATCCACAGAAAACAAGGAGGCTACCAAGTAAAACAACATTGTCTGAAACACACACAGACACAGACATTCATAAATATATAAATGTAAGTAAAAATAAATGTAGTAATACATTAAATATATATAATGTGTGTTCTGTTTTATTCTCAATTTATATATTTTTATTTATACATTTATTCCTGTATTTATTTATTTGTTTTTGTGTTTTTTTAGTCCTTTATTTATTCCTGTATTTATGCGTTATTAATTTTGTACGTGTGTCATGTTCTGTCCTCCATACCTGTGCGTCACTGTGTGCATAAAGATACTAAATAAATCCAAATCACATCACAGCAAGACCTATAGTTGGGCGTTCATTGTTTTAAAGACACATTGGTGGCCCAGATTCCAGAGGTCAAGGTTCAACACCCAGGGAGGGGACATTTTGTCTTCTGCTATGCTGATGTTAAATCTGGAGAAATTGTCCCCACCACTTTTCTAACAAAGTGACGCTCATGCACATGTGTATCTGCTGCTAGAATATCTCACAAAAAGCCATTGGGTAAAAATGCAAGTGTGCATACAGTAAGTTAGCATTCATTTACAACAAGATACCTTGCATAACAAATATAATATTTAATGTAAATTGTACTCCATATATTGATTGTGTTGGTCAGTTTACAAACATTTCTGTGTATTAATGTTCTATTAAAACTGCATATTTATCTATAATACAATAATTTACTTTTTGTTTCAAGGAAAAAGGTCAATTATACATCAATGGCAGAGAAAAAAAACATTTGTTATTATGGTAAAAACCTGGGAAAAACCCTGTCGAACAGGATTTTTGTATAAAACATTTCCCTAGAGACAGGAAATAAAACACATGAAGCATTTTCCTGTGAAATCTGGCCTTTTTATTCACTTCAAGCAGCTCTTTACTTTACATACATATATCACCCTCTAGTGGTGATCAGTAGGAACTGCAGTAACACCCACTTTTTGCTGGCAGTGTAAATGATAACTCTTTTACCCAAAAAACAAGGACGATGTAATATAGCTGAGCTCAATATATAATCCATGCATGGTAGAAGTTAAAAACAACATTCACAAGTATCCTTCAAACCCCTGATGAATCTCTTAAGTCAATAAACAAAGAGACAGTATAGTTACTTCCTTCTTCTTGTCCTGTGTCCGCCTCCCAGATGCCTTGACCAACAGTTTTATAACCGATTTCTAATGGTGCTAGAAGGCTGCAGCGGGCTCTAAACACCAGGAGAAATCAGTCATCTTTTAGAGGAGAGAAATATGAGGAGGATGGCCAGATCCTCCAGAGACTCACTCACTGCCATATGCTGTCCTCCTGTCGCCAAGAACACTGATTTCAAATGGTGCTAGACAATGGGAACATCTAATCCACCATGTGAAACCAGCTTCTGGGGGAAGATGTGTTTTTGGCGTCAGCTGCAGCAGTGGTGAGAAGGTAGGGTAATAATAGCCTCAGTAGTTCCACTTATATATATTTTACTTTGGTTCAGTATCATTTGGTATACTTACCTGACCTACCTTTCAATAGTGGGATCAGGATCATAGCTGTAATTCAAACAATTTGGGAACAGAGACCAATTTATTTTGAGAGTTTTTCGGGCACAAAAAAGGAAGAGATTTTTGCGGAAAGCAGGTGATTTTTGAGGGGATATACGAATATAAAGTGAATTAAAATGAACAAAGATATATAAAGTGGGTTTTAAATACTTTCATATTGGGTAAATAGATTGTAGATTGTCTGAGGCAAAGAAAGACACTATTATAGGACGGATTTGAATGAAAATCTGTGCATACATTCATGGTTTTGAGAGGATGAATTGTATTACATTTGGTTGCTAGCATCTCCTCCCTCGCCACCTTAAGTTAACCCTTAAATACTTTCATTCACGACCAAATTCTGCAAATCTAACGACATTCCCATTAGCCTCAGTTGTACATCTTCCCGAATTCTCCTCACTCCCTTCAAGTAAAGTCAAATCTGATTCAACCCCTCCAAACCAAATCAAACATCTTGTTCCACACCTCAGAGAAGCACATCAGAGGAATGTACAAACAGTGTGTGTGTGTGTGTGTGTGTGTGTGTGTGTGTGCGTGGTGCGTGTGTGTGTGGAGGCCTTTGTTTCCATGACACGAGACACCACACACACTCGGCTGTGGGAACCGGCTCCCAGCACTTATGTAACTGGACAGGGCGTCATGACAACAAGCCTACAGTAAATACTGCATTGTCCTAGTGGGTCCTTACAGGTGATTAATGGAGGTCAAATGACCCATAATGAGTGTTAGAGTGGGCGATAATTGAGGTTTAATAACGGCATTAGGGTCGGGTGGACCGCACAGTAAAGTGGTGCAAAGTAACTTAGTAGATTTACTCTAAGTAGCCTACTGTAGTTGAGTACAATTTACATGAGTATTTCAATTTGTTGCTACTGTGTACCCCTACCCCACTACAATTCAGAGGTAAAACATGTACTTTTACTTCACTACATGTATTTAATACCTTTAGTTACTTAGGATTAATGATGTGAACTATAATCAACTCTTAAATTCCCTTATCCACGCACTTCACTGCATCCTGTTATTCTGCCTATGGCCACAAGAGGGAGACATGACATCTAAAACCATGCTAACCTGTGAAATGTGAACTATGGTGATGTCACTGCCTGTTGATCCACACAAGGGAAGATCATCTCTCCTGCCATTAGTTTAGGTAAGGTCTTTTAAATGTCATAAAAGCACACTAGAAGGTCACTTTAATGGCTGTAATTGTCGCAAATATCCCTGCGAAGAAGTCAATGTTTGATGAAATGTTTAAAAAAAAGTGATCTTTCTGTGTCGTTGTATGCACCATTTACACCAAAGCTAATTCCTCGTATGTGTAAAGCTACTTGGTAATGAAACCGATTCTGATTCTGAAAAGGAAATAGCCGGAACCAACACCCCGCCACCAGTTATATGCAGGACGGACACACACACACACACACACACACACACACACACACACACACAC